TACTTTTTATAGGTATTCAGGCGCCCTGCGATCTTCAGGAGCAAATGCTCCAGCACAATACATCACAGCAGGTTTGTAGCAATTTTCTTGGCTAAACGCTCCATTTCAATTTCTCGGACTTCTGCAAACTTTTTTTTTTTTTTTTTTTTTAAATATGTTTTTAATTTTTTTCAACTTCAGCCCTGCGTGATTTATATGAGACTATGGACAAGACCTCGTCCAGCCTTCCTCCCATAATCCTGCTGCAGTTTCTCCACATGGCCTTTCCACAGTTTGCTGAGAAAGGAGACCAAGGACAGTACTTGCAGCAGGTCAGAATCTGCTCAGTTCATGTCATTGTTGCAATACAGTTGCCCAAGATTGCATCTGTTTGCATTTTTTTATTATTATTATTTTATTTTTCTAGGATGCCAATGAGTGCTGGCTCCAGATGATGAGGGTACTTCAGCAGAAGTTGGAACCACTTGAGCCGGTGACTCCCATGGAGGTAAACCTTTCTCGCTTTAGTGAAATGGAGGCCAAGTAATTAATAATATTAATCTTTCTTATGATTTGATTTCTTTACGCATGCTTCAATTGTGTTTTATAGACTCTGCTATGCACATTAAAAGTGTGTCTGTTTGCTTTCCCTGCTTAGACGGAGTCAGCAGGTGGAGCTGCCTCTGCGTCTGCAAAGAAGAACTTTATTGACCAGTATTTCGGTGTAGAATTTGAAACTTCGTATCCTTTCAGCATGTCTGAAACTACATTTTCAGTCTTTAACCTGATAAATTCTGGTCTCAAGAGTATATTGTTTACTTTCCGATTGTAGTTTTTTGATTGAAATGAAACATAGAAATAAAGAATGTACCAGAGATAGACTTAACTCTTTAGTTCAGCATGAAATGCACAGAATCTGAGGAAGAAGAGCCGATCAAGGGCAAAGAAAGCCAGCTCCAGCTCAGCTGCTTTATTAACCAAGAAGTCAAATACCTTGCGACAGGACTACGACTGGTACGTACCATTTAGTTTCACTCCTTAAAATCCATTAGGGATTTTTTTCAGACAAAGAAGACATGCCAGGGTACTAAGACTAATTTTTAATGTTTATCATCAAAGCTCAGATTCTCTGAAGATCACAGTCATTAATAAAACTGAAATTTTTGCTGATTGAAAAGTATGTGCCACTTGTTGCAGCCCAATCACTTGCTTGGGCTGCAATTGTCAACTACTTTAGTAATTGATTAGTTGTTAAATGGAGTACAATATATAAATGGAACCGAGGAGTAATTACCGTACAAAAAATGTATACATTTCGCATTTAAGATCTAATAAAGCTTTGTAAATATGTTCCAATCAGGACTCCAGTAGCATAGCTTTAGATTCACCTGGTTCAAATGTAAAAAAGTATCTCACATTAAGCACTTTTTTGCCATCCAATTACTGACTGGTTAATCTAAAAAAATACCGTGCAGATTAGCCGCACGCTGTGATTCTGTTAAGTGGAGCAGAAAGGGCTGAGCTTTTCACATGTTGATGTTTGAAGAATTTTTTTTTTTTATCTGCAGATGCATCTTTTGCTACAAATGATCAAGTACACACTAAAGGAATGCAGTTACTGCATTTTATGCAATAGAATGTTGATTTTCTTATTAAAGAAATTAATTGAATTGTTTGCATATTTTAATGTATGTCTAACATTATATATGTGCTTTTTTTTATTATTCCAACAAATCAGTTAAACGTCATAAAAATTAATAAGATTATTGGATTACTAAAATAACTGTTAGCAGCTCTAGTCCCTGTACTACACAAAGTATGCACTCAACATTGGATTATTGCATTAATTACTGCATCAATGCGATGCAACATTAAGTTGATCAGGCTTTGGACCTGCAGAGGAAGTAGTCATAGTGATGAAGAGCTGATCCTGTTTCTCTCTCCACTCCCAGAGACTGCAGGAAGAAATCACAAAAATGTCTCCAACCTTGGACAGAAATGCTTTGTATATCAAATCTGTAAGTATGATCTCCCGCTGCCCTCTTCTTTTGAAGTCATCCGACTGAGATGGGACATTTTTCTTACAGCTGCTTTTCATTTGTCCTCTCTCTAGTCAAAACTTAGCCGTCTCCCTGCCTACTTAACTGTTCAAATGGTCCGATTTTTCTACAAGGAGAAGGAGTCTGTGAATGCAAAAGTTCTAAAGGTTTGTTGTCATTGTTACTCTTCATTTGCAACAGATCCTGCAGTGAGGTCTTAGTTAAACCTAATTATCTGTAAATAATTGTTTTGAATTGCGAAGGATGTCAAGTTCCCCCTCATGTTGGACGTGTACGAGCTCCTCACCCCGGAGCTCCAGGAGAAAATGTTGCCAATTAGGTCAAAGTTTAAAGAAATGGAGGACAAGAAGCTGGAGAAACAACAGCAAAAGGTGACAAAAAAAATCAATGTGGATGTTTTTTGTGGATGCTATTGTTTAAGAAATAAACTTCTTTTCAGCATAAATGCTAACATATGTGTATATTCCTGATTTCCATTAGGTGTTGAAGAAGCCAGATGCATCAAAGGAAGTAAAATATGAGCCTTTCTCTTTCCCAGACGGTATGTTGAGACGATCTCATATCATCCCCCTATACATTTAACTTTTAATGTTTTTTTGTTTTTGTTTTTTTGCATAAGGAATTATGCTTATTTTCTTTTACCTTTCTGTAGACCTTGGTTCCAACAACAGCGGCTACTACGACCTGCAGGCTGTACTGACTCACCAAGGTCGCTCCAGCTCATCTGGCCACTATGTGGGATGGGTCAAGAGGAAAGAAGGTAACCACATCTGTTGGTGATGACCAGAGCCACCCACCCACGACTGTAGTACGACTGTCTTTACATTGCGTTTTTGTGCTGTCTTCTGATGATTTGGTTAATCATCATGAAAACCAAATTAATAAGAATCACATCCAGTGACTCTAAACTCTCATTGAAGATGTTCAAAACCTCGGTAAATTTGGGATTTTTTGGCTCTTTTACAGTTTTCTTTACATTACTATATACAAGGTCTACTTTTCAATATGATTTAATACGAAATATTATGTACTGTACACGACAGCAAAGTTGCATCACACAATGTAATTGCTGCAGCAAAGTAGGCTTTATTTTCTTTTTGACTGAATGCAGGGATTTGTCTTAGAGATTTTTTTTGTCATTTTGATAACTGACAAAAATAATTGTTCTAAAAGTTTAAGTCCATATCCAATCCTACTAATTATGCTTATCACTATACATAAAACTCACGAGGATGGATGAGAACAGACCTTCCACTTAAACTGTTGGAAAATGGTCACCTTCTGTTGTAAAAATCTTATGAATCTCAAATGTTTGTTTTTTTTTTCTTCTGACTTTACAATCCTAGTTTTAATATTACAGAATTTTGCCTCCAACTATGGCAAACAAATCTCCCAATTTTTCAACAACAGAGAATATAACATTTTTTCTTGTAAATATGTGAACATGAATTTATATTTAGTCCATGGCCAATAAATCTTTTCTCTTTTATCCACAATGCCCTTGACACTCTTGTCATAACACCAGCAGTTTGAAACTTAAAGACTCACAAACAACCACGTGTTGGCTTTGGACAACTAGCTTAAGAATCTGTTTTCTTTTTGTGTGTGCACGTGTGTGTGTGTGTGTGTCTTCTGACAGACGAGTGGGTCAAGTTTGACGACGACAAGGTGAGTGTGGTCTCACCGGAAGACATCCTGCGGCTGTCTGGAGGCGGAGACTGGCATATAGCTTACGTTCTACTGTACGGGCCGCGTCGGCTGGAAATACTTGAAGAGGAGCAGTAGCTGGAGGGAGGTTTCTTACATCCACATAATACAGATTGCCATTTCCGAGCACTGTCTGCATAGATGTGCAATAAAACTGGTGTCTTTAAAGATTTGATTTTTTTTTGTTTTGTTTTGTTTTGTTTTGTAACCAACACTTATGCTTGTAAAACAAAATTTTGTTAAATATTCATCCATGGTGTGCTTTGAATATGGAGATCTGATGAAAGGCAATCTCTGGACTGGATCCTTTAGATTTTAAAGTCTGGCTCTACAGTTTCATTAAATGTTTTATACACAATGTATATTTTTAAAGCCTTTCAGAAGGTGATCATAAGAGCAAAACTATTTCTTATTCATTTAACCACCAAGCTGTTGTCCTTGACATTCTGGATTGAGTTGTCGGATGCATAACAGAACTCTTGTTCACCTCTTGGGCCTTTGGGTTCAGTCTCAGGTCTAAAGTGCTTGGCTCACATCATCTCCTGCGATTGTTCTCAAATGTATTGACAGATGAGGCTCTGTCTGCCAAATATTCATTAATGCTGTTTTCAGGGAAGTGGTTTGGGACAGGTTGGCCTCGTGGTGAACCTTGTGGAGGAGTTTGAACCATGGTTTTTCCTCAGTTGGCTTTGGTGACACTGACTTAAGACAATGTATGTAAAGTCCAAAAAGACATCCACTCTCTGTAATAAATTAATTGATTGGTGGTGAAAATAAACCGTTGAACCAAAACGCTACCCTGTTTTGTGACCATGAGAAAGCAAACGTCTTGGAAAAAAAAGTTTATTAGATTTTTACAGTGGGGAGAAAAAAAAAAAAAAAGGTTCAGACCTTTGGTACATACAAAATTCACTGCTCCAATGTAACGTAGGTACAAATTAAGAAATGTTTCAAGCCTCACTGAGGCGTTCTGCAAGCTGGGAGAACCCTGCCGCGCTGAGAGCCGTTGCCAGGTTCTCCACTGTTGCTTGGGATCCCTCTCGCTCCTGCCAGGCCACCAGCAGAAGCTTGGCCTGAACGTCCACATCTTCACTGTCCGTCTCGATTTCCCGCATCTCTGCTGCCTTCATCTCCAGATGAGACGCCAGCGTCTTCCACTGAGACCCCAGTTTGGCTGCTATGTCGTCCATCTGATGGTTTGTTACAGTTTTACTCTGGATGCTCGGACCTTGAAGAGAAACAGAAAAAATAAAAATGAAACACTGGTGCAAAAGACAAACATCCATGCACACAAATACAGTTATATCAAAGGAAAATNAGTTAGTTAATTTTTTGCTTAAGTATCAATATTCTCTTTTACTTTTTATAGGTATTCAGGCGCCCTGCGATCTTCAGGAGCAAATGCTCCAGCACAATACATCACAGCAGGTTTGTAGCAATTTTCTTGGCTAAACGCTCCATTTCAATTTCTCGGACTTCTGCAAACTTTTTTTTTTTTTTTTTTTTTAAATATGTTTTTAATTTTTTTCAACTTCAGCCCTGCGTGATTTATATGAGACTATGGACAAGACCTCGTCCAGCCTTCCTCCCATAATCCTGCTGCAGTTTCTCCACATGGCCTTTCCACAGTTTGCTGAGAAAGGAGACCAAGGACAGTACTTGCAGCAGGTCAGAATCTGCTCAGTTCATGTCATTGTTGCAATACAGTTGCCCAAGATTGCATCTGTTTGCATTTTTTTATTATTATTATTTTATTTTTCTAGGATGCCAATGAGTGCTGGCTCCAGATGATGAGGGTACTTCAGCAGAAGTTGGAACCACTTGAGCCGGTGACTCCCATGGAGGTAAACCTTTCTCGCTTTAGTGAAATGGAGGCCAAGTAATTAATAATATTAATCTTTCTTATGATTTGATTTCTTTACGCATGCTTCAATTGTGTTTTATAGACTCTGCTATGCACATTAAAAGTGTGTCTGTTTGCTTTCCCTGCTTAGACGGAGTCAGCAGGTGGAGCTGCCTCTGCGTCTGCAAAGAAGAACTTTATTGACCAGTATTTCGGTGTAGAATTTGAAACTTCGTATCCTTTCAGCATGTCTGAAACTACATTTTCAGTCTTTAACCTGATAAATTCTGGTCTCAAGAGTATATTGTTTACTTTCCGATTGTAGTTTTTTGATTGAAATGAAACATAGAAATAAAGAATGTACCAGAGATAGACTTAACTCTTTAGTTCAGCATGAAATGCACAGAATCTGAGGAAGAAGAGCCGATCAAGGGCAAAGAAAGCCAGCTCCAGCTCAGCTGCTTTATTAACCAAGAAGTCAAATACCTTGCGACAGGACTACGACTGGTACGTACCATTTAGTTTCACTCCTTAAAATCCATTAGGGATTTTTTTCAGACAAAGAAGACATGCCAGGGTACTAAGACTAATTTTTAATGTTTATCATCAAAGCTCAGATTCTCTGAAGATCACAGTCATTAATAAAACTGAAATTTTTGCTGATTGAAAAGTATGTGCCACTTGTTGCAGCCCAATCACTTGCTTGGGCTGCAATTGTCAACTACTTTAGTAATTGATTAGTTGTTAAATGGAGTACAATATATAAATGGAACCGAGGAGTAATTACCGTACAAAAAATGTATACATTTCGCATTTAAGATCTAATAAAGCTTTGTAAATATGTTCCAATCAGGACTCCAGTAGCATAGCTTTAGATTCACCTGGTTCAAATGTAAAAAAGTATCTCACATTAAGCACTTTTTTGCCATCCAATTACTGACTGGTTAATCTAAAAAAATACCGTGCAGATTAGCCGCACGCTGTGATTCTGTTAAGTGGAGCAGAAAGGGCTGAGCTTTTCACATGTTGATGTTTGAAGAATTTTTTTTTTTTATCTGCAGATGCATCTTTTGCTACAAATGATCAAGTACACACTAAAGGAATGCAGTTACTGCATTTTATGCAATAGAATGTTGATTTTCTTATTAAAGAAATTAATTGAATTGTTTGCATATTTTAATGTATGTCTAACATTATATATGTGCTTTTTTTTATTATTCCAACAAATCAGTTAAACGTCATAAAAATTAATAAGATTATTGGATTACTAAAATAACTGTTAGCAGCTCTAGTCCCTGTACTACACAAAGTATGCACTCAACATTGGATTATTGCATTAATTACTGCATCAATGCGATGCAACATTAAGTTGATCAGGCTGTGGACCTGCAGAGGAAGTAGTCATAGTGATGAAGAGCTGATCCTGTTTCTCTCTCCACTCCCAGAGACTGCAGGAAGAAATCACAAAAATGTCTCCAACCTTGGACAGAAATGCTTTGTATATCAAATCTGTAAGTATGATCTCCCGCTGCCCTCTTCTTTTGAAGTCATCCGACTGAGATGGGACATTTTTCTTACAGCTGCTTTTCATTTGTCCTCTCTCTAGTCAAAACTTAGCCGTCTCCCTGCCTACTTAACTGTTCAAATGGTCCGATTTTTCTACAAGGAGAAGGAGTCTGTGAATGCAAAAGTTCTAAAGGTTTGTTGTCATTGTTACTCTTCATTTGCAACAGATCCTGCAGTGAGGTCTTAGTTAAACCTAATTATCTGTAAATAATTGTTTTGAATTGCGAAGGATGTCAAGTTCCCCCTCATGTTGGACGTGTACGAGCTCCTCACCCCGGAGCTCCAGGAGAAAATGTTGCCAATTAGGTCAAAGTTTAAAGAAATGGAGGACAAGAAGCTGGAGAAACAACAGCAAAAGGTGACAAAAAAAATCAATGTGGATGTTTTTTGTGGATGCTATTGTTTAAGAAATAAACTTCTTTTCAGCATAAATGCTAACATATGTGTATATTCCTGATTTCCATTAGGTGTTGAAGAAGCCAGATGCATCAAAGGAAGTAAAATATGAGCCTTTCTCTTTCCCAGACGGTATGTTGAGACGATCTCATATCATCCCCCTATACATTTAACTTTTAATGTTTTTTTGTTTTTGTTTTTTTGCATAAGGAATTATGCTTATTTTCTTTTACCTTTCTGTAGACCTTGGTTCCAACAACAGCGGCTACTACGACCTGCAGGCTGTACTGACTCACCAAGGTCGCTCCAGCTCATCTGGCCACTATGTGGGATGGGTCAAGAGGAAAGAAGGTAACCACATCTGTTGGTGATGACCAGAGCCACCCACCCACGACTGTAGTACGACTGTCTTTACATTGCGTTTTTGTGCTGTCTTCTGATGATTTGGTTAATCATCATGAAAACCAAATTAATAAGAATCACATCCAGTGACTCTAAACTCTCATTGAAGATGTTCAAAACCTCGGTAAATTTGGGATTTTTTGGCTCTTTTACAGTTTTCTTTACATTACTATATACAAGGTCTACTTTTCAATATGATTTAATACGAAATATTATGTACTGTACACGACAGCAAAGTTGCATCACACAATGTAATTGCTGCAGCAAAGTAGGCTTTATTTTCTTTTTGACTGAATGCAGGGATTTGTCTTAGAGATTTTTTTTGTCATTTTGATAACTGACAAAAATAATTGTTCTAAAAGTTTAAGTCCATATCCAATCCTACTAATTATGCTTATCACTATACATAAAACTCACGAGGATGGATGAGAACAGACCTTCCACTTAACCTGTTGGTCTCAGGTTGTCATTCACAATGTCACAGGGGTGTCAAACTCCAGTCCTCAAGGGCCGCTGTCCTGCAGTGTTTAGAAGTGCCACAGGTAAAAAACAGTGGAATGAAATGGCTTAATTACCTCCTCCCTGTGTAGATGGTTCTCCTGAGCCTTGCTAATGACCTAATTTTTCTTTTCAGGTGTGGTCCAGAAGAGGCACATATAAAAGTTGCAGGACAGCGGCCCTTGAGGACTGGAGATTGACACCTCTGTCACTAGTGGACCCAAATTTGGGTCCTCTAGTGACAGACAGGTTAAACTGTTGGAAAATGGTCACCTTCTGTTGTAAAAATCTTATGAATCTCAAATGTTTGTTTTTTTTTTCTTCTGACTTTACAATCCTAGTTTTAATATTACAGAATTTTGCCTCCAACTATGGCAAACAAATCTCCCAATTTTTCAACAACAGAGAATATAACATTTTTTCTTGTAAATATGTGAACATGAATTTATATTTAGTCCATGGCCAATAAATCTTTTCTCTTTTATCCACAATGCCCTTGACACTCTTGTCATAACACCAGCAGTTTGAAACTTAAAGACTCACAAACAACCACGTGTTGGCTTTGGACAACTAGCTTAAGAATCTGTTTTCTTTTTGTGTGTGCACGTGTGTGTGTGTGTGTGTCTTCTGACAGACGAGTGGGTCAAGTTTGACGACGACAAGGTGAGTGTGGTCTCACCGGAAGACATCCTGCGGCTGTCTGGAGGCGGAGACTGGCATATAGCTTACGTTCTACTGTACGGGCCGCGTCGGCTGGAAATACTTGAAGAGGAGCAGTAGCTGGAGGGAGGTTTCTTACATCCACATAATACAGATTGCCATTTCCGAGCACTGTCTGCATAGATGTGCAATAAAACTGGTGTCTTTAAAGATTTGATTTTTTTTTGTTTTGTTTTGTTTTGTTTTGTAACCAACACTTATGCTTGTAAAACAAAATTTTGTTAAATATTCATCCATGGTGTGCTTTGAATATGGAGATCTGATGAAAGGCAATCTCTGGACTGGATCCTTTAGATTTTAAAGTCTGGCTCTACAGTTTCATTAAATGTTTTATACACAATGTATATTTTTAAAGCCTTTCAGAAGGTGATCATAAGAGCAAAACTATTTCTTATTCATTTAACCACCAAGCTGTTGTCCTTGACATTCTGGATTGAGTTGTCGGATGCATAACAGAACTCTTGTTCACCTCTTGGGCCTTTGGGTTCAGTCTCAGGTCTAAAGTGCTTGGCTCACATCATCTCCTGCGATTGTTCTCAAATGTATTGACAGATGAGGCTCTGTCTGCCAAATATTCATTAATGCTGTTTTCAGGGAAGTGGTTTGGGACAGGTTGGCCTCGTGGTGAACCTTGTGGAGGAGTTTGAACCATGGTTTTTCCTCAGTTGGCTTTGGTGACACTGACTTAAGACAATGTATGTAAAGTCCAAAAAGACATCCACTCTCTGTAATAAATTAATTGATTGGTGGTGAAAATAAACCGTTGAACCAAAACGCTACCCTGTTTTGTGACCATGAGAAAGCAAACGTCTTGGAAAAAAAAGTTTATTAGATTTTTACAGTGGGGAGAAAAAAAAAAAAAAAGGTTCAGACCTTTGGTACATACAAAATTCACTGCTCCAATGTAACGTAGGTACAAATTAAGAAATGTTTCAAGCCTCACTGAGGCGTTCTGCAAGCTGGGAGAACCCTGCCGCGCTGAGAGCCGTTGCCAGGTTCTCCACTGTTGCTTGGGATCCCTCTCGCTCCTGCCAGGCCACCAGCAGAAGCTTGGCCTGAACGTCCACATCTTCACTGTCCGTCTCGATTTCCCGCATCTCTGCTGCCTTCATCTCCAGATGAGACGCCAGCGTCTTCCACTGAGACCCCAGTTTGGCTGCTATGTCGTCCATCTGATGGTTTGTTACAGTTTTACTCTGGATGCTCGGACCTTGAAGAGAAACAGAAAAAATAAAAATGAAACACTGGTGCAAAAGACAAACATCCATGCACACAAATACAGTTATATCAAAGGAAAATTCAGAGACTTAACTGAACAGCTTTGCTTTTGCACTGTGGGAGGAAATTTTTTTTTTTTTTTAATTATAAGAATAAAGTCATACCAGAGGATAATTATTTTTAATGAGAGCAAAGTTTCAATTGTCAAGATCCGACATGAACAGATGAGTCAGTGGCTCTTCAACAAAAATAAGACCGTCTTTTGCACAATTGTTTCAGATTGTGAAAACTTCACAAGATGCTCAACATTCCTCCATTTATTTTCTTGTGGAGAAATTCTGACAAAACTATGTCTTTGTTGTCCTAATATACAACTTTATTCTGGTAATAAATCGTTTTTCTTCACATGATAAAAACATGAACTTCATTCCCAAAATGAAAAAAAAAAAACAAAAAAAAAAAAACTTTTGCTTAGGTTGGTATTAATACTCCATCAAAGAATTTGTTTTTTTTTATGCTGAGAACACATTTCGATATTCTGACTTGGATAAACCTAGAAAAGAATAATAGATTTAACTGAAGACACTGAAAAGACGATGTAGAACTGTTGGCCAAACTCACTGTCATTGCTGTCTTTAAGAAGATTGTCTCCATTATCGTCATCATCCTCCTCTCCTGTCTTGATTTCTTCTGAAGGGATATCCTTCTGCATTTTTAGAAAAACAACAACAAAAAAAAAACTGGTCTGATTTCTTTCCTTTTTAAAGTTTAATTCAGGTTTTGAAAACGTAAAATCCCCCACCGGCAGCTCTTTGGCCAGTTTGCAGACCATGGTGTCTAGGTAGTCTGCCAGGCTTTTGAACTTCTGGTTCGTTGGCTGAAAGAAGTGTGGACTCCTCCTGGACAGGAGCCTCAAAGCCCGCCACCCGTAGTTTGGGTTACGCACAACCCTGAAAGAATTTGAGCAAGAAAATAAACCCCCAGGAATTTAGCAGCTGGATTTTATAATAACCGACTTGTGTTCCCAGTGAAATACGTCACAGTGCCGACCTACTTATATTCCTCCTCCACCATGTTGACTGGATCGGCCTGCTCAATGGCTTCTGCAAAGAACTCGTCCAGTGATGGCATAAACTCTCTGAAATACAAATACTGAATGCAGTCACCCACAGTATTCATATATTCAGAACATCTTCATGTGACAACCAAGAACTGCAAAGTATTTTGTGTTGAGATTAGATGTGGTAGCCAAAGCATCTTCTTCCTCAGCTCTGCTGTATCCCTACGTGGCCCAAATTGGATTTTCTGTTTCTTTCACAAATGGCTTGCAAACATTCAGTCTTGCAGTTACGCAATACTGAAGTTTGTGGTTGTAGGTTCATGGATATAAAAACTTTTGCAAGGAACTAAAGACATATCATATGAAAAAAAAAAAGATAAAATAAAGTAAATATTTTTGCTTAGTTCTCTGAATTCCTTACCTGCTTTCAGACTTGCAGGCCTCCATGTTGTCCTGGTTCAAGTTCCACAGTCGAGTCAACTCATCACTAACGAAACGGTGGAATAAAAGAAAGTTTAACATCCTGCCATAGATTGCTAAATAATAAGCTTTCCAGCTCTACAAACACACAACTTGAAAGCGGTCGGATGGTTTAGAGATGCATCTGAAGTCTAACGCTTTAATATTGCTGAATTAATTACAGAACATAATTATATATATATATATATATTAAAAAAATGGATATAATCACAGTGATGTAAACAAATATCTCCATTAATTCAATTTGGTTCAGAAATACTTTTTTAGTCTCAGAAGGAAATTTAAATGTTAGGTGTCCGATTGCACTTGAATGCACCGCAAAATGATCTGCAAGTGCAGCAGAAATACCGTGGAGGTGTGACCTCACAGAGTTCTGATCAACTGCTTCCAGAAAGCTGAGTGAATATAAACAATTATGAAGACATGAATACAATTATTACCAACGCTCAACTGTAAAAAGGTCACTACCAATAATGTTTTTTTTAAATCTAAGACTTTGAGAGTGTATGAATACAGTAAAAAAATAAATCAAGTCCTTAGTGACGTACTTTCCCATGAAGATCTTGCGCTCTGGCCCTTTTCCAAGGAAGTCCTCTGGAGCTTGTCTTTTCCTGGTGGGCCTTTTAGGTTTGTCGTCAGATGTTCTGTTCGAGAAGAAAACAACCAGGACACTTTTCATTTTGACATCCTAGCAAAAGTTCACACACCCACCCCATTTGTTGCCACAGACCAATCGTTGCATGGAAACGAAACGAAGCCAATATGGGCCGGGGACATGCGGCGACATTTCTCTCTATACCTTTCTTTCACGAAGCTCGGACAGCCCTCGTTCTTCCAGGAGTTCCAGTTTTCCTCCGTGTTGAGAATGTGCTGCCAAAGAAGACGTTTTAAAAATTCTGGTCTGACTTGAAGTACAAAATGAAACATTGAGGGTTATATTTAAATAAGTCCGTATTCCTAAAGTGTGGCTTACCTCCACCATGGTGGCGAATTGTTCTCCTTCAGGAGGCGTTTCTCTCAGCAGCTGGAAGAGCAGAACACACGTTAACCAGTCTGTTCTTGCTATGGCTATAGTAGTACTAACTTAAAAAAACCCAACAACAACAACTTCAGTTTAAAACATGTTTCTGTTTAAAAGTTTACAGTGATCAAAGTCAAATCAGTCAGAGATGACCGAAGAGGCACAAAACTTGATAATAGTGGTCACTAGTTCGAACATTCTCCATAAGAAAAGATCTTTTCAAATATTTCACATTTTTGCAAAAATCAGAGTTTTTGGTACATTTGAGACTTTATGCCAAATTATGAAAAGATAAACTTAACTTTAAAACCAATATCTTTAAAATCAATATCTGCTGCGTGTATTCACTGCACTGAACTTCATGCAGTCTAAAACTTAGACCAAACTTCAGGACAAAGTCTGAACACATGAGATTTCATTCATTTCGAGTCAGAGACATACCAGGATGCCTTAAAAGACATCAAAATGTGCAACTGAAAAAGACATAATAAATAATTAAATGAAACTAACCTGATAAACTAGCTTCGTCGTCTCCTCAATCCATGCACTCTGGTCGTCGTTCAGAATGCAGCTGGAGCTGCAGCAGGACAGAGAAAGAAATAAAACAATAAATATTCCAGCATGGCTCCTGCTTGACAACCACAATTTGACTGAGTCATGCTTTAAAGTGAACACAGAAACGAGCATCACCTTTTGAATTTAACCTGTCCCTTAAGGTACTGGAAGAGGATCAGGTACTGCAGCAGTATATGCCGTCTGAAGTTGCTGTCGCTGAGCTGCAAGTCCATCAGCTGCAAGAAAGAAGGGGGGAAAAAAAAAGAAGAAAAAAACATTTTAGGACAAACACATTTAAGAGGGCAACTTTTTAAACCAGCAGCATTGGAAGCAGAAAGTTTCCAACCTTCTCACTTGTGAGGAATTTGGCAAAATAGACGTGTTCGCCGTCAGAGGCTCTGAGGTCCTCCATCTTCCTTTTAGAGGCCTGCATGTCATCCAGCTTGAAGCTCTTGAATACGGCGAGGGTCTCGTCTGAAAACTGAGCAGAATGACAGCAGAGGAATCAGGGGGGTGGGCTGGTCAATTTTCAGTCAGGTCTTATTTTTAGAGCACTTTTCACACAATCAAATGCAACTCAAAATGCTATGCAGCAGTTCAAGAGTCAGGCATGCCAACAAATGCTACATTAAATAAATGTAGTAATTAGAAAAGTGGAATAAATGTCACTAAATGCTGGACTGAGGAACGCAGCTGCATGGAAGCAATACACCAGAAACAGATACGAACAGTATGGAAACATTATTCTGGATTTCTAAAAGTGCAGGAACAAATATAAATGAACCACGAAAGAAAAACACAGAAATTACACTTTAAATTATATTTTGTTGATTATATTACGTAAAATAGTGGATAAAACTCGTAGTATGTTTCAGCTTTCATGATGCATTACCTTAAGGAACGTCATCCATGAGAATTTGTCGTAGCACTGCACCGGATTTCTGAAGTAGTCCTGCAACGTCCAGAACTTTCTGTATAGGTTGTAATCAATTGGGATAGAACTGAAAAGCGAAAAGCAATTTGGTTTTATTACAGCTGACCAGACAAGTTTTTTTTTTTTTTTTTTAATTATTAGAAAATGAACAATCTCGCAGAGCAAGTCTTCCACTCACCAGGGCGCAGGTGCATCATCCTCCCCCATTTCACCTTCCTCCACCTCCATTGTGTCTTCCTTTTCATCCGTCTGCTGTAAACATGGAGGTGGAAAAATGTTTTTTTTTTTTCTTTTTTTTGAAAAAGCAACACATAAAATGTTTTGAATCAAGATCAAGTGGTAAATCTTCACCTTCTGGCCAAGAGTGCTCTCCTGCTCATTCTTGTTGAACACTGTTATGTTGTCCAGATTAAACTGACTCTGCAGATTCAGACCTGGGTAAAAACACAAACAAGGTTGTCATAGATACATTTGTATATTTTGCAATCATAATGCTGAATAT